ATTACGAATGATAGATGTCTCATGTGGGCAGATCATATAAAAAGATGTTCACTCGTCCATTAGTAAATATGTAAACTACCTACGACTTATAGACTTTATACAAATAAAGGCTGTGCTCCCAACACAGTATTGAAAATCTGTAAAGCTTATATTTGTCCTTTAATAGAATATGGATACCAAGTTACATTTAATACGTTTAACACCATTCTTAAAAAATTAGATGCCAGCCTGGCATGGCCAGGTGGTTAGGGTGCTCGACTCACAATCTGTGGGTCGCAGGTTCGAATCCCCGTCCCACCAAACATGCTCACCCTTTCAGCCGTGGGGGCGTTATAATGTGATGGTCAATCCCACTATTCATTGGTAAAAGAATAGCCCAAGAGTGGGTGGTGAAGATTACCTGCCTTTCCTCTAGTCTTACACTGTTAAATTAGGGATAGCTAGCACAGGTAGCCCTTGTGTAGCTTTGCACGAAATTCAAAAACAAACAAATAAAAAAATAGAACTGCAACAGAATAGAATCCTCAAATTAGCTCCTAAGGCTTCCATGCTATACCCCATTTAATTATGTGCACAAGACAAGTAACTTGCCATTACTAAGAAAAAGAATCCCAATGTTGGCAAATAAATATTATTACAAAGGTGAAACCAGAAATACACTAACCTATACCCTCCACATGTTTCAAATGTACCACACAAAATATTGCTATACAATTTATACTGCAAACAAACATAAATAACATTCCAAAAGACTAACCATGCAGCCACAAACATACCAACACTTACTTTTAAAAATAGATCCCTGCCATGTTATAAAAAAAGGCAATATCAGACTTAAAATTGAATTTGCCATGAGTTGTTGGTACTCTGAAGTACAGAAGCTTTGCTTTCTATGCCTGTTGTGATAATCATCATGAAGTGTGCCGACATTTCTGTCAGACCAGCACAGAACATTTCAATGTAGAGCCTTTTCTTTACTACTAGTTAAGTGCTTTCATTTGTATTTAAACAGGAAGCTAAATCAACACTGAGAAATTATCAGCATTTTTTATTTATATCAGTAAACTTATGAGTTGATGATTAAGGTGGAGCAAGTGTAAAAGAAGTGTTTCTCTTGATTAAATCAGGTCATTTTGCAAATGTATGTATTCATTATTCAAATCATGTCACCAAATGAGGGTTCTGTTAAAATACCTTCAAATTAGTCCTATTATATCATATTTATCAATATAATAAGATACTTTCATGGCTTTCATTGTTTAAATTCTATACACATTCTTATAGCAAGTATTTAAAATACCTTACATTTTTATAAACTTGCTTATATTTTTCATAAATATACATGTAGACCTGCAACAGATCTTGATAAATTTTACATTGACAGGATTACTGATTGATCCATTGTTTGATTTTCAATGTCTTCAAGCAATTGATAATTTAAGGGCAATATCACTCAGAAACATGAAAGCAGAAAGAATGATTGAAATTACAAATTAATAAAAAAAATTGACAAGACAAAGTATTTTATTTATTTTTTGTGCTTTAAACTCACTTTCTGTAGTTAAATGCCCAAGTTGTTTTACTTTATTTTGAATAAAAATAGCTAGTTTGGACGAATACCACCAGTTTCTCTTTTCTATAGTATCATACTGTATAGGTCTGGCCCTGTCTTCAGCTGTTACTTATCTGTGAATTATTTTCTTTCCATTAACTGATTTTTTATCTTATTTTCAGATAGGTTGATCTACACAGTTTAAAGAAAATAAGATAGTGGTAGCACACAAAGAAAGAAGCAGAAAGAAAAAACGGAAGGCTATTTTGGAAAAACATTCCAAAGCTTATGACATTTTACTCATACGAGAGCAAACTGATCCTGCTGGGAGATTTTGATATAGGCCTTACAAGTGAATTAGAACTTGACAACATAAATGAAGGCTCTACTATATCCACTAAACTCAAGGATGTGGTTAGCAGTGAAGACACCACTATTTTCAAGAGTATAGCAGCAGGTTTATTGGTTGAGATAGTGGATATTAACAGCAACATGACTGTTAATGCTGTTGTTGATACCACGTGTAACACTGGCACAGTCATTTCAGAGCAAGGAATGAACAAAGGTAGCATTGCAAGTATAATAACTCAAGCTAGTTCTAATATAGAAATTGAGAGATTACAAGCAGTAGCAGCTTTTACTTCGTTGCAAGAACTTCCATGGCCATTGGATCCAACTTTGTAGTCAGCTGATAGTAATGCAGTAATAGATTACTGGATTCATGGGCAGGAAATTCCAAACCAGATCATAAGCAGCAACAATCTTGAAGCATCGAAGTGACAAGCTTATTCGAAAAACACATCTCGATACTTAACGTAGAATTATTTTTCATTCAACTTGAAAAATGGTAAGACAAGAAGAAGGGAGTGGTTGATCTATTTCCTGTATACTGGCAAGATATTATGTTTATATTGCGCTTTCTTGAGAAACTCAAATTACTTGCAATGTGACTCCTTTCATACAGGATTTTGCAAATGTTCCCATAGGCATTGGGCTCTCGAGAATTATAAAAGAGTAGTGGGCATCTTAATTAAGTGCTGTGTTTGGTAGCAAAAATATCTAAAGACTGAAAAGTAGATGCACTCCTGAAAACTCAAGAAAAAGAGATGGTACTGGAGAGATGCATTGCACAGAGTTGTAGAATGCCTGACGTTTTTATGGGAATGAGATCTGGCTTTGAGAGGAAAGTGTGAGGACATTGTTGACTTTGAGCTATGTAATTTTTGGCAAAATTAGACCCATTTATAGCAAAGCTTCTGGAGACACAAGGCAATAAGGACATTGAGTATTGTTGTTTAAGATTCATAATGTAGGTAAATTAATATGTAGAATTATAAACAGACTTTTCTCTACGTTAAACTACTTTTGTTGCAAGCTTTTGGCCCTCTTACCAGAGCCTTCATTGGGCAACAAAGCTTGCAATAAAAGTATTTTAACATTGAGAAAAATCCATTTATAATTCTAAACATTGATTATCTCCTATCTGTCTTTCACGACCTACAAAGGGATCATGGGAAAAGGAGTTCTCAAGATAATTTCCAATGAAATGACTATAGTCATCTATTCATTGCCTCATGTTTTCAACAGATATAAGTCATCAAGTAGACATAACGGCAAGTCAGTGACTGATGTAGTATTGCAGAAGATGGGAAATCTTGGTGTAGATATATATAAGATACATGTGGACAATCATATGATAACACTTCAGCACTTCCAGTATGTTTGTGAAATAGAGCAGCCTACCTTGCACACTTTCCGAACTTGGTAGGAATCAATGCTGTAGAAAGCTACCAGCATGCCTCTGACTTTTGGTTGCCTTCAGATTCTATACAACTTGTTCCTTTCTTCCACACATCAATGGGAGAATATCTGTTCATGTATAACAAGTGGAAAAGATAGGTCTGATATTTTAATGAGTCTTAACAGAATTCAGTTGTTTGCAAGAGCAATTTTGACAAAAGTGCTGTATGAAAATTACTATAAGATCTATCTTAAACTTAAGAAGATGTAGAAAGACAATCAAGATAATCATAGTATTTGGATGAAGCAATGACCCTGTTGGAGAAAATGGAGTCACTAAAGACTACATTCATGACTGTTCTGTGGCATGAGTAAGAAACATCAGGAGAAGGGTCTGTGTTTTTCAGTTGCCGTAAAACTTCTGAAGTCTATGGCAGAATATGTTATCACACTTTGTGAGGACTTCCAGGAGATTGGAGACAGTGCTTGTAAATTGTCAGATGCTGTATGACAGTACAAGAACAAAATTTCAAGAAAATTGGTGTGTAAATTGGCAGCTGATAAAACCTGTAACAGTGAAGTATCCTTTATAGGAGCACAGAAATTCTGGGTTGAGTGCTTCATCCAAATCATTGACAAGTTAGTTACATGTATGAACAATCATCATACCATGTATGAAATGGCTTGAACCAGCTTCAGATTTTTTACCAGCTTCAAGACTATGCCCATTCCCGACATTTAAGTAGCAGCAAAGAGCCTGTGCATGGCTTACCTAATCGATTTGGATGATTCTTTCCCAGAAGAGATAATACACTTCTCTAAGTTTATAGAAAGAGACATTGCCCTGTTTGTACAAGAATGCCTGCAACTGATCCAATGTAACAAGCTCAAATCTATGTTTTCTGATGTGGATGAAGCATTTCATATTTATCTGAGTATGCCAATTACCAACTGCAACATAGAAAGGGCATTTTCTAAAATGGCAAGTGATAAACATCAGGCTTCGATGCAAAACTATCAACATAAAACTCTGTTTAATGACAACTGAGAGAACCATGCTCTGATGCATCAATTTTGACGACATCATTTCATACTTTGCAGATGTTAAAGTGTGGAAAAAGATGTTGTAAAAGTATAGCTTAAGTGTTTCACAGCTCAAGAATTGGGAACAGAGGTGACTGATGGGTTTTGCACAAGATCCTTTGATTGAAACACATTTCCTTTCAGACTTATTTTCTTTCTGATTTATTAGATTTTGCACTGAGACATGATGTTCATTCAATTATGTGTATATACCTCTATATGAAATTAATAAATATACCTTATGTTTTTTAGCCTTTTCAATAAAGGCAAAATGCTTAAAACAAATCAGTCTGTTTTTGGCTGTGGGTACCAGTAGTGAATATATCCAGACAAAATTAATATTATTCCATAAGTTTTGAATATTTAAATGCTTTGCCTTAGTATTAAGTAATTTAACTTCACATGATTAGCTATGAACCCTGTGGTATAACAAAATAAGACCCTAAATCCAAACTTATTTGTAGGTGTTCGGTTCTAGTTAAAACAAACTTTATTCTTAGGATCACTGGTAAGGACTTCAAGTTTTTTATTATTCATTGTGGAAACATTTTTTTACATTGTATGTTTTAAGATTTTTAAGAATAGAAAAAGGACTATCACATTTTGATGTCTTTCTTATCTTTAGCATTGAACTACCTAAACCTGTGCCAGGTCAGCATATAGAAAATGAACTAGATCGAACATATAGAGACCTACGAACAGATGAGCTTTATAAACTTCGTCAACAAGCAGGGGAACTTCGAGAAAAAGCTACAGATTTGGAAGAGGCATTGCAAGAAGTAGAGAATTATGTAAAAATTCTGAAAAATTTAGCAACTGAAGTAAGTTTTTTTTTGCTTTTATTTCTTGAAACTTATAAATTTAGTAAATTTCATTAACTAACAAGCATTAACATCATAAAAGCAGCTACTACAGTGGATTAAAATATATTTTTATAAACTAATATGAAATAATGGTTACATAGATCACCAAAGAAATTACACAAATAAAATATCGTTTTTTAACCTGTTATAGTAGTAGCTGGTCTTTTAATGTTAACTTTTAGAAACTGAATTTTTTAACACAACTGTTATTTGGTTTCTGTACTTTCCAAATTTCTTGCACTGTTTCTTGTTTGTTTTTTGCATAACAAAGAAAATTCTATTCATTGATAGTATTCTCTTTTACTGTCACCTTTTCTTGTATTCACCACTCTACATTATAATTAAGTTTCTTAACTTGCTAGTTTTTCTGAAATATGTATCCTCGATTATATAAACCTGATAAACTTTCAAATGTTTCAGCCAGTGTTGAAGTGTATTTGCCATTTTTATAAACTTGGCTTATTGATTGAAAAAAATCATTAAGTTTTTTCTATATCCACAAGATTAGCTTGCATAGTGTAATAAAGTTAAAACATACATACTTATCATTAGATATGTATTACTTCACACCAGAGACAGGTGAGATTGGGTAGGCTGTAGTCTGTCAACTCAGCACCTGAACCCACCCAATCATTGTCTGCTTGATTGTTCCCTCATCAGAATATGTCATATGTAGTGGTGGTTGTCATAGAAACTGATGTTTTCTTTGTTCATTGTTGTTGTTTTTTTGTGTGCTGTACCTGATATTACATATGGCTTCGGTTTCTATTGTCTAGTTATTATGTGTGAAATTTTTTTATTGGTGTTGTGTAAATCATGATGAATTATAATACTTCTTGCAGTTTAATACAAAGTTTTCTTTCACAACTGAAGTTACAGAAAACAAATACTTATTGAATGATCATGTCACAGAATGTACCAGATAAACTTGATTATTCAATGTTATTCATTAAGCTTATGTTTGAGATATCTTTTACATATAAAAGTTTACTAGAAATTTGAAGTTCAGTATCTCAGTTTGTGATAAATAGTATTAGTTAATTCTTTGTTTTTCATATTCCACCATTGCATAAACACTTAAAAAATTAAATATTCTTTACCATTTTCAGTATCTCTGTATCAATTATTGTTTCGCATTAACATGTATAGCATAACACATTTTTTTTATTAACCCCAGAGTAGCATTTCTTACATCATTTCCTTGTTGCCTTGAAGTAGCATATATAACATTCTAATAGATGAATTACAACTAGTTTTACTGTAACATAAGTAATACATTATTATTTTCTTGCAGCCACAAAGTAGCATGCCTGATGTTATCATCTGGATGCTCAGTGGGAAAAAGAGAGTTGCATATTGTCGTATCCCAGCCAACCATATTATTTTCAATCCAGATCCAAGGAAGTGTGGAAAGTGGTGTGGAAAGCTTCAGACATTAATATTGAAGGTATGCCAAGTATTTAGTTATCTGTTAAAAAGGTAAAGTCTGTTTATATTTTAGACATGACAATTCAAACCAGCTACTGTAATTTTAGTAGTACCTAAGTTAGTTATAGTAAAAGGTTTAATAAGAGTTACTAAGAAGTGATAAAACTACTATTAAAATCTTACCTTAAATAAAAAAAATGGGAGTCTACATGAAATTAAATTTTGATTTGTAATCTAACTAAAGAAAATTTTATATAATACTTTGATTTTGATAGGTGAAATTGTTTTGTGTAAAAACATTTAGATTCTCTACATATAAAATGATAATATATGTTTCTAATTTTGTTGTATTTATCTCTAGGAATTTAATATTTGTCTAAAACGTTTTACAAGTTTGAAAATGTTTCTTATGTAGTTTTCATACAATGCTATGTTATTCAGCCCAAATAACATTTTAATTACTATTTGTAACTGTTTGCTTGTCAGTTATTTTATATAGCAGCTGTTATTACTGTTAGTCTATAGTACTTTTGTCAAAATAATATTTTTAGCATAGTATCAGTTTCTGTTTTCAGTGGAACATTTTTTACATGGGTAATTTAATGCAATTACAATAAGAGAACTGATTAGTTATGTACATCTAGTGGTTATGTATGTTCTTTTGCAATATTGTAACTATTGATGTCATTACTGTCTTAATTCTTTAGTATTATTTTTACTGTGTGCTATACATAACTTTAGTTTTCTGTTTTTTTAGATTTTGTGATGTGGTAATTGTTGTAATTTTATGTTAACTGTGATGTTATTTTCTTTTATTCAGTATTATATTATCTTAAATGTATTACTGATAACATGTACTATTCATGTAATTGAAAAATCACAGTAAATGGAACAAACTGTCACATGCCTTGATACTGGAGAAACTAATTTTGACACATTTGTTGCATCCTCTTAAGTCTCATGTTGTCTTCTTTAGTTGTTTGCTATTGGTTGTGCTATGTTTCTTTGGTTTTTTACTGACTGTGTTTCTCCTGTGTTGGTGCATTGTTTTACTAATACTTGTTTGTTGTTATTTGTATTTTTTGTCTTTGTGTTTCTCCTGACTTGATATATTGTTGCAACTGTATGATATTATTTGTATTATTTATTTTGATGTTTTAAATGGTCTTATTAGTTTCTTTCTTGGTTTACATGTTGTACTTTTATGCAATTATGATAAAGAACTCTTACACTCATGTACATCCTGTATGATTGTTTTTATATTATTATAACTGTATGTTACTACTACATTGAGTTTCAGTATTGATACACTGTTGTAGCTATATCTTATTATTTGTGTTATAATTGTGCAATTTTGTCTTGTTTGTGTTATATTTTATAAATTTTTGTTTGTATTGTATTTGCTTTGAAATTTGTTGTAACATAATTTTTTGTTTATATTTTATATTTGTAGTTTTGTGTTTATGTTATTCTGACCTAGGTACATATATATATATATATAATTATAGCTTAGTATTGTTATGTTTTTGTTGGAATTTCTTGTTTGTATTCCTCAGACTTGGTGGAATGTTATAACTGTGTGTATTTTTGTTTGTTTTTATATTTTGTAGTTGTTTTTTTATATTAATTATAATTTGTTCAGCTGTAGTTGGTTTGTTTGTTTTTTATGCTGCATCTTTTGTTTTACTTCTAGTTTTATTGAATTTTCTGTTGTTTTTGATTTAAAAGTAAATGTAGTTGTTCATTTTGAACTGTTAAGGCTTTATATTGTAATAATAATCTAATAATATTGAACAATAACATTTGGCAGATCAGAAATAATACTTTATAAATGGTATATTAACATTATATTTATGCCTGCTATTATTGTTATATGTGTAACAATATTTAGCACTTACATGTTGTAGCCTACTATATGCCATTAGTTGTACTTACTTCACTAATAGCATATTAACAAACTGCTTGTGACTGCTATCCTTGTGCTTTTTCGCAACATTATTTAGCAGTTCAATGTTGTAGTCTAGCATATCATAACAAATACATATTTCACTAATAGCATGTTAAACAACAGCTTGTGTCTGTCATCTGTCCTAAACTAATCTAGTTCCCTGAGACTGGTGAAAGACATAAGATGAAGGCGATGATAAGTCAGCTACATAATGTTCAATTAACTGATCCCTTGCGACTTGCACAGCATCCTGACTCAATCCTCAAGAACAGTTTGTGGAAAGTTCCTGGTCTTCTAAGGATGAAGTTGTGGTTGGGACTAGAAATATATGATGTTCATTGGCGATCTTCTCAAACTGATGCTGAACTATCAGTGTTTGCTGAAACGGTAATGTATCTGAAACCAGACAAGAACAAAAACGTGTCTTTTATGTTTATAGGAATAGTTATTTTTGAGAAAAACTTGTTTACAAAAGGCAATATAATCTGAATGAACCAGTTTAAATTTTGTTTCAATGAGTTTTGAACAAACTGACTTTTTTTATGTTACCCTAAGGAATTTATACTTATAACTCAACAAGCTGAAAATATACATTTATTGGATTATTTGTACATTTGAAATAATAGTTGGAACTTAATAATGGCTCAATATTTCCTTATAGTTTTATGTTTTAAAAACTTTCAAGAACAATTTCTATAGAAGGCATCTCATGTCTATTAAATTTTGTATGTTTCATTGTTGTTCAAACTATAATTTGAAATAATGCAGGAATTATCAAATAAGTTGCATTGTTTCTTTTAGATATATTTTGGGATTATTTTATTCCCTAATAATAATTTAGTGTTTTTTAGTCACTGCATCAGTGTTTCTACGCAAATGTGAAGCTCATTTTTGTATAATATACAACATGTTAATGATAGTCAACAAAATAAAATGCAAGTAATGCAATTAATTGGATGGACACATAATGTAGCTTTTATTGGATGTATGTTTTGTTGATACTTAATATATATTATGTTTCTTAATATAACTAAGATATCCAAATTGTTTTTCTAAAATTACTAAAGTAATACTTTATGATTGAAATATCCAAATTTTTTTTATTAAAATTTAATTCTCAGTATGAAAACCAAGCATATGTCCTAGGAAAGTGGACTTCTAGTGGCCCAACTATGACCCGACATAGTTGGTCAGATGTTAATGGAATGGTAAGTAAAATAGAAAAAGTACAAGCTTTTATCTGTGTGTTTATACATACACAAAATTTGAATGTTTTTCAATCTCAATACAAGTGGTATAAGCAACATCCTCTACATTTTAGAGTGAGTTTTATCAAATGTGGCAGAATTTATGTGTCTAGGTGGCTGTAGACATGAGGACTGGTGATGATGTGTATTATCTTAAATTTCAGACATGTACTGTTGAAACATGGCTTTGTTTCATGTTTGTTCTTTTTGGGTGAAAAAGAATGAACTCGTGTTCCTTATGGTTTTGCCTTTTATTTATGCAAATTATATATTTGAACTATGTAATTTATATTTTCAAATGGAAGCTATACATTAAAAAAAAGCTATTTGTTTTAGTATAGGTTTGTACAGAACATACACTCTAGTTCAAACATTTAAGGTAATGAATATGGTTTTGACATTGAAACATTTATGGTTTTGTCTTTATCAGTCATAATCAACACATATCTGGTGTTGGAATTTAATTCATGGTTTTACTTTCAACAGCTAAATTTATCAAAAGAAATTTTTGTGGCTCCACGTGGCTGGAGATTTGAAGGGGACTGGTTTGTCAATCCGGAGCCTAGGTTGGTCCAGTTTTTATGATTATGTAATATGTAGCTTATCTGAAGAGTTTCTAAACTTTTTTAAAAAGATGAGGTTGGTAGTCTTTCTTTTTTTCTTGATAGTTGAAGTTTTTAATTTTTCCGAAATGGTACTACTTCCTAAATATTATGAGCAGTGCACCAGTCTTTTATAGTCCTATATTTTTTGCATCATTGCAACAACATTTGCTGATCAGGTGACCACCCTCCACCAATCCCATTGTATCCTCTACCATTGCAGGACAATCCCCACTTTCTCGATTGGCACTAGTATTCAGACACATGTTTTCAATTGTTCTTCAAGCAAACTTTGCTATGTTTTTTTGTGTTTCTTGCTAGTTTTCATTTTTTAGTTGGAATTACTTGTTAATTTTATAGTTCATTTACTATTAAATCTTTTTTTTAACAAGTCCATGTAGACTTATGAATTCAAATTTTCATGTGGCAGATGAACATGTTCCCACCAATATGGATGAAACTTAAGTCACTAGTCCCCAGCGCGGCAAGTTGCCGATGTTGGCCGAGGAGTTTCAGGCGTTAATTTGGTAGGAGTTGGATACTTTTGCTGTATCTTCTGCTCATTCTCCCTTTCTCCAGGACCACGCTTTTGAGGAAGTTATTCATCAGGTGGAAGATAATTTTGACTCGGTTTTCCCATCCTCCTGGTTTCTTCAGCTAGTCACATAATGCTGGCAGTCAGAATAGTCTATTGACCATGCCTTTCTTACACCTTATTGATCAGGTTTGTCAACTTTTACATGTCTCTCCTTTAGTCCTTGATTTTTCTACTACTTCCTTGCCGGGAGAAGAGCTTCATTACAATTATTATTATTTCCTTCCCTCTCCTGACATTCTTGTTCAAGCTCAATGTTTTGCTGCTCAAGTACAGTCGGGAGTGGGTATGCCTCGTCCCCCTCAGCCTTTGGACCAATTCTCTTTGTTTAGCAACATGCTACGAATCACTGTTTGGATTCTCAGCATTCAGATCCTCTCCTTCCCTTGTGGGGTTTTAATCCTGATGCCTTGGTTCATTTTTATAGGTCCCAGTTTACTACAATTCGCATTACATTGACCAATCTTTAATGTGTCCTTTCTTCTTTACAGTTGTTGTCTTAGGCCTTTAACCAGTCTCATGATCAGTTCTCAGTCGATCTCAGGACCCTCCTGTGGTCTACTATGACCTGGTTGTCCCTTCAGGCTTGTCCCTCACCACTTGGATCTTGTGTTGTTTGGATTTACTCGGGAGGGATGCATTACTTGAGGGGCGTGTCTACCCCTTTCGTCGTTATGGGAACTTCATCAGGCCCCATTTATGCATGAAATGGTCTTTGGGGGTCTTCCTGAGTCTTTATAGTCCAGGGTCAATGTAGTGAGATTGCATTCCTCTTTATCTTCCCTTGCTTCTTGTTTGTCTCATCATACTGATTCTGCTCAATCTTTTCCTGTTTGAGGGCCCCATGCTTCTTATTTGCCCGCCCTTTTCCTACTCCCGATGTTTCCTTCATTATGCTCGTTCTTCCCATTCCCATTCCTCTTGGTCTCACCCTTATTGGTGATGGGATGCCTTTCCACGGGCAGGTGGGGGACAGGCTACAACTCTTTTCTGACATTTAATTCTGGTCCCCTCCTCCCCTGTCCTCTTTCCCGGGTTCTTTTCCTCCTACTTGGGATTGTGTTTTGTCAAGTTGTCTAGCAGAGTCAGTTCTCAATCTTCTTCACAAGGATGCTGTAGAACATGTGTTGCCTATTCGTCTGAGTTTTTACTTCCGTCTGTTTGTTGTCCCCCAAAAGACTGGAAATTGGAGACCTATTATCGATCTATCTTGACTGAATGCCTTTCTGGACACTCCCAATTCACCATGGATTCATCCTATCTCTCTCTTTGGTGACTTTTTTCCCTAGGTCTTTGGATGACCAAATTTAACTTGATAGATGCATGCTTTTATATCCCCATTACTCAGGAGTCACGTTGTTATCTTTGGCTTGTTCAAGGGGAGGATGTGTTCCAATTTCGTGCACTACTGTTTGGTTTTGCCTCGGCTCCTTCTGTGTTCTGTTGGGTTGTCCATGCCTTTGCACATTATCTTCTTGTTGGGTTTTTGGACTCTTCATTACATGGACGACTGGCTCCTGCTCGCCTTTTCCCGAGCCCAATCTGCCAAACACACCCACTTCCTTCTTTGGGGGTCTGCTCAGGTGGGATTTCTCATCAAGATGGGGAAGTCCTTTCTCACTTCCACTCAATACCTAATTCATTTGGGGGTCCTCTTCAATTCCCATATCAGTTGGACTGAGCCTTCTCCACTTCGGTTCCTGGATATGAAATGAGCAGTCACTCTGGCTTTGTCTTCACCTTCTCTTCCTGCTTGAGAGATTCTTTTTCATTTGGGAACGTGGGCCTCTCTTGGAAGTTCTCATTCCCTTGGGCCGAGTACATGTGTTCCTTCAGTGGATGCGTCTTGACCAGTGGAACTTTTCCCATGATCCCTTGTTTCATCCTATTACTCTTCTCCAGGGATCAAAGCTGACCTTGTTTGGTGGCTAGGCAGGGCTCTTACCACGGTGGAGGTTCCTCTTCCTCCACCTAGTCCTGACTTGCGTCTGTTCACAGATGCCTCTTTGGTGGGTTGGAGGGGCTTCCCTTGTTTCTTGGGAGATTTTGGGTCAGTGGTTCATTGAGGAATCTACTTACCATATCAACCACTTGGAGCTTTTGGCAGTTCGTTGGGCTCTCACCCAAGCACTTTCAAAAGGTGGACCTTTCTTCTTTAGGGTCAAAAAGTTTGCCTCTGAAGAAAAAAGGTCCACCTTTCAAAAGCTCTCAGGTTGTAGGGTTTTTATTCATATATATATATATCCTGAGGACCGTGACTCATGGACTTCATGAGTAAAGTAGATAGGGATTTTTGCCCATCCCTACAGACCTGTGATTCTTACAATCCAGGTCTTTCTGCTTTTCAAAACAGTGAAATACAGACATCCACTCCAGTGGGTCATTCCTACAGACCCCAAATGCATCTCACCCCCTCTTTCTTCTAGTTGAGCACGGGAGTCCTTGCCACTTCCAGTTCCCAGTCATTGAAGTGGTGGACTGTGGAGGTTGTACAATAACAAAACCTCATAACCATATGTACTCACTCAATGAGAAGAGGGTTGTTGTCTTTAGGCTGCCTATTATACACACATTATGGCACTATGTCTCTTATGCAAGGCACTTCCACTAGATGTCTTCTTCTCTGGCGGACTGCACTTGACATAATTCAATGTATACGAAGGGGCTTCCCCTGGATGTTTTTGACTGGGTGGACCTCACTTTGCTATCTTGATATCAATTCAAGTTGCATCCCGTGGATGTGTTTGCCTGGGCGGATCACACATGTTGATTTCTCTATCATTATTATGCTGCATTTTACACATACAACATGGTACAAAATCTCTTATGCAAGGCACTTCCTCTGGAGATTTTTGCCCAGATGGACTGCACTTGACATCATACATTGTATATCAAGGGGCTTCCCTTGGATGTTTTTACCTGGGTGGACCTCACTTGGACATTTGTTCTAAATCCTGGGTGTTTCCCCTGGATGTTTTTACCCAGATGGACTGTGCTTGTTGATCTTACAAACTTATGCAAGGTGCTTCCATGTTGTTTTTGTCCTTGGACCACAATTGACGTAAAAGATTTTATCCCAAGGTGCTTCCCTTGGATGTTTTCTGCATGGGTGGACTGCACTTAGCCTATTCCTATATGGTCCTCTAGCCCTAGCCTTGTATTCTCTTCATTTCTGCCCTACGTGTCTTATCTTCTTTACTGAGTGAAGAGCATACTCGATCCAGAAGGAGTGCTATACCCCCACAGGTGTGTCTCGTATTTTAATAGTGGCATACCTGCTTTTTTTTCATGGCAGTTGCTCTCTGCTTTATTATTTGTTTTTGTACCTTCACTGGTCCCTCCACCTTTCCAAAAATTCGATTCTAGCTATGGGGGAGAGGAGGTACTACTGTTTTGGAAGTGAACATATTTTAACCCTGAAAACTTATTTCCAATAGGTACTTACCTACACTCACCCACTTCCCACACTTCCTTCCCAGTGATTTGCCGGTGTTTTCAGGTTTGTATATGCCAATTCTCGAAAGTAGAGGGAGCTACCAGCAATTAGTATAGAGGGTGCAGTGGGATTGGTGGAGGGTGGTCATATGATAAGCACATGTTGTAAGACTAAAAACATAGGAGTATAAAAGATTGGTGTGCTGTTCATAATATTTACCAATGCATAGAGGGCAAATGAAGGTCAAAATAGCTATGGGGAGGGAGGTTAGTACCTATTGGAAATACATTTCCATTGTGAGAAAATGATAACATTTATGGATTTCTAACAAATGCTGTCTCTGAACTGTTAAAATAAATTAGTCTCAGAAAGTTGTGACTATACATATCATTATTTTACAGTAAACTGGGAGTATAATACATGTTTCTTTTTATGTCATCATTTTCACAGATTTTCTAGTTGCAGTATTCTGAACCACTTATTAAATCTTTGTTGTATAAACTAGAAAGGGCTGCTAAATAAACACAGATTGTTGCTTTTGTTTTTTGAACATGTTAATATATATATACATAATTTTTTATCACATATATGTTAAAGTGTGAATTTGTTAACATTCTTAATATAAATTGTGATAAACTGAGTTAAAGGCTCTTCAGATATGGATATGCTTAGGGCAGAATCTCCAAATTTACCTAAAAGAAGTGTTGCAACATAACAAAAATTGGAATGATGTTCAGATGTTGGATATTTGTTTTATTCAAAAAATTACTCTTTCGTAATATGACTAGAAATTTGCTCTTGTCAAGTCAAACTGAATATGAAATATCGTAAATGTGCTTAAAAAGGACTAATATATCCTAATAATTTAACTGTTATATCAGTAGCTTTTTCAGAATTGTCTCATTAACATAAATGAATTCAAACTCTGAAATACAATTATATGGAAGGTAACAAAATTGCAAGTTCTTTAGGACTGACTGAGAGATTCAGATTTTTTAAATTTTGAACCATAATTCTACATCTTCATATGTTCTTGTATCCAGTATGCAGTATGATGAAGATGCGGGCCATCGTTCATTCTTAGAAGATGTTTATGAGAATCAGAACAGATTACCAGGAGGTCACTGGGTCTCAGCCCCAACTCCTTGGACAGATCTAGTAAGTTACACCATAAAACTAGGTTAAACTGAAGGATATTATCTATTTTCGAGAATTTTGTTGCTAATCTCAAAGTATAGGTCATATATGCTATAAAACTGTCAACCCATGTCTTGTTTTTCAAGTCAGTGATTACAACTTTTCATTGCAACAATTTTATGATATCACAGTAAGTGGACTTAACAGTTACTAATGAAGTTTCAGCTTTGGAAATAGCTAGAACAACAGCTAAAAACGACTAAATGGAAATGCTTCTAACCTGCCTACTTCAGTAGAGAATAATAAAAATGGTTGTAGCAGGAATTTGTGGTTTGTCAGCATATTTGCTACCCATGGTTCCCATAGGGGTAAATAAAGGATTCTACTGAGAAGTTGACAGTACTTAGGAGCAAACACAAGAGTTTGAAATTTTTCATAGTTTCTTTTGACATTATTTTCATTTGTTATAATGTTTTTATGTTAAATGATATCTCTTTGAAAGCTGTAGGGATATTCTTCCAAGAGAAAACATTTAATTTAGTTATATGCTTAGTAAGTATGGCAAGTAGACAGCTTCAGATGTTTCCATTGTTTAGGAAATAGGTTATAGGCTCCTCTATTTCCTAAATATACCTTATATTTTTGTATAATTTCTTATCAAACTCCAGTATATGTACATTTATTTTTTTCTTAATTGTATTAAACCAATTTTTCAGCGGACTTGTCTGCATCATGTGAATTCTAGGTGATGATGTCCTCTAGAAGTTAATGGTGTTTTAAAACATACTAATGTTTTTTGATTACTGGTAAAAATATAGACAGCTCTTGAGATGGCTTGTAGAAAGATATTGTCTGTTTTTCTATATTTTATGTCATTTGAAATTGAATTTGAGCTTAAAGTATAATAGATGCTACTAATGGTATAATTATTTGAACTATTATTCTTGTCTTTATTATGTGTATTATTATGTTTCGACCAGTGAATTCTCCAGCTGGGGTCAGGTGGTGTATCATTTTTTTTTATGCATCACAACCAGAAATCTATTTGTGGAATTACCAGGATTCGAATCCCTGACCGTCTGATCTATAATACAGGTACTGTAACCACTTGGCTATCAATAGGACACTTTTTGAGATGTTTGGGATGTACCTCTATTTTTTATTTCTAGTATTTTTTTGTTTTTTTCTTTGTCCAAATATTTTTTTTTCGTAATACTGGGAGCCATTTTGAGATACACTTGGCTTACTGATTGGATTAGTAGTCAGTGGTATGTGTGCTGCTTCCTTGATCTTCCTTATTTTCCAATGTTGATGATAGTGACTTCATTTCATGCTGGTCTGTGTTCTCCATCAGATCATGTATGTTATGTGATGCCAAACTTTTCAATCCACCCTGGATGGTTGCCTTTCTATGCTTTTCCAATCTTACAGACAGAAGATGATATGTTTCTCCTTTGTATATCTACCACAACTGCATGGAATGTCATATATGCAGTTCTTTGTTTGCTTCTTAGACGTCGATGGTCTGATTTTGGTGAATGTTCTCTGGAGTGTTGTATTATTTCTGAAAATGGTCCTGATGTTGTATCATCCACAGATTCTCTGTATCTTCTCTGATAGGCCTCTGGTGTATGTGTGCCTGTTGTTCAGTATGTCCTCTGTGTGTCTGTTCTATGAAACCTTTTAGGTATCCATTTCTCTGGAATGTCTCTGTTAACTGGTCCATTTCTTGTTTTCTTATTGTGTCGTCAGCACTGATGGCATATGTACAATGTTGTAGGCATCCCACAATACCTTTCTTAACAGTAGATGAATGGTATGACTCGAAGTGTGACTGGTGGTTGTTGGTATATAGTACACAGATGTCTTGAAACCAGTTTCACATCTTTCCTCTTAAACATCTAGTAATGGTAGTGTGTTGTTGTTTTCACATTCCATGGTGAACTGGATTGATGGACGAAGACTGTTTATACGGTCCAGGAATGACGTTATATCCTCTTGATGTTACCATAGGACGAACGTGTTGTCAACGTATTGAAGCCACACTGCTGATATGAGAGGTGCAGCTACCAATGCTTGATTCTCAAAGTATTCCATATAGGTGTTGGCAATCACAAGTGACAATGGCAAGGCCATAGCCATCCCTTTCTTCTGTTGGTAATACAAACCATCTACCTGGAAGGCTGTGGTGGTTACACAGAAAGTAAGCATCTCCATGATGTTATCGGTTGGAATGCATGTTCTTTTTAGTAGAGTTTCATCCATAACCAGTCAGTTCCTCACTACAGTTAAGGCCTCAACTGTGGGTACATTAGTGAACATTCTCCCAATATCGAAGCTAACCATTTGCATGCCAGGTGTTATGGGCATGTTCTTGATTAAGGAGACGAAGTAGGTGGAGTTCTTTATGTATGAAGATGACTTCCCAATAAGGGGACTGATTATCTTGGTCCATTGGGTGAAGTACTGAGCCCCAGCAGCTGACAATTGGTCTTAGTGGGTATGCCAGTCTTGTGTATTTTTGGTAGGCCTTACATGTGTGGTAGTTTGCTGTAATGTTGATTCAACTGTCTATATTGTATATCGGTCAAGCTTCCTTTATTCTTGTTTTTTTTTCAGGATCTTGTACATTTTTCGTTCGGTCACAGATGTAGGGTCTCTCTGCTGTATGTCCCATCACTCACTAAGTTGTTGAACTTGTTAGTGTACTCCTCCTTGTTTATGACAATGGTGAAAATTCCTTTGTCAGCTGGGAGTATTAATATTGTGTCATCATTCTTGAGCTTCTTGATAGCTGCTTGCTCTTCTTTGGACAGATTCACCTTTGCCTTCTCTAATGCTTGTTTGACTTTCCAGCATAGCTTCTCACCTTCTTTTCCCCCCTATTTGTATTGCTGTCTCTTCTATCAGAGCTATTATGTCAAAGTGGTTGATTCATTTGATAGTGGGTGTGAAGTTCAGCCCTTTATTGAGTACTGCCTCTTCATACAATGTCAGTTGTCTGTCATTTAAGTTTACAAATAACTGCATAAATGACATTCCATGCAGTTGTGGTGGATCATACAAAGGAGAATCACTTCATTCCTATGTCTGTCAGATTGGAAGAGCATGGGAAGGCAACCACTCGTGGTGAGATCAACAAGTCTGGCATGCATGGTCTGATGGAGAAAACAGACCAGCATGGGACAAAGTCACTATCATTGACATGGAGCCACATTGGAAAATAAGGATGATTAAGGAAGTAGTATTGACTATGTAATAATTCCATCAGTAAGCCAAGTGTAGACATAAGCTCTATTTGGATCCCAGTATTACAGAAAAAAAAATTGAGACAAAAAAAATACTAGAGATAAAAAATAGATTTACTTCCAAAACATCTAAAAAAATGTCCTTTTAATAGCCAAGTGGTTAGAGTGTCCATATTCGGGATCACAAATTCGGGGGTTCGAATTCTGGTAATTCCACAAAGAGCTTTCCAGTTGTGATGCATACAAAAAAATGTCTGATATAACACCTGATGAAGGCCAGAGAATTCACTGGTCAAAATGTTGTGAAGATAATAATACACATAATAAATACGAGAATAATAGTCCAAATAATTATACCATTAGTAACATTAACACCTCATCTGAATCATTATGCAAAACTTTAATAGGTGCCTTTTTATCTCCTGGTTTTGGTTTATAGATTGTTGACAGCTATTGTAAGATGGGTTTTCCAATCAATTTGATAGGTTTATGTCTCTTCTAATATTTTCCACATGAATTACAGTGACTTTGATATGTCTGATTATTGGCTCCTCAATTTCATCTTCTGTAGCTTCAAAAATATTGAAACTGGTAAACTAATATTGATATCAACATTTCATATATAAACATATAACATGGCTTGTATCAATGCTTAAGACTTATTTTCTTCATGGTAAGCTGCATGGCTTAGTTTGCTTTTTTTTTGCTTTTCAATATCCCACTAGAATTATTGACATATTTCAGAGGTGACATATCCCTGTGTAAAATATGTTTAATTTAGAAAAAAAATTATATTTTAGTTTAATTTTTTCACTTTATCTGGAAAAGAGTTTTGTATCTGTTTTGTTTTTACAGCGAGGAGATCCAAAAACTCCACGAGATGATATTGAATTACCACCCAACTGGGAATGGGATGATGTCTGGCAGGTAGACCTAAACAGAGCTGTGGATGAAGAAGGTATGATCAGTAGAGACATTTGTATTGTTAAGGAGTGAGTGAAACAATTCATAATTTTCACTGTATAAAAGCTTGTTTCTACCTCCTAATAATTTTAGACACAGCATTGGGGCTCATAGTTTTTGTTTATTTTCAAATACAAATTGTTTAGCTCATAGCTCTGTCATCTCTTGACCAATTTTAGATCTAATTACAGTTTTTGGATTCAGGAGGTCAAACCCGTTCAATTGATGTACTTGCCCACACCCAAAGTCTCATAAATTAATTTACTCTGAACCTGCCTAAAATAATTTCAATTTGAGGGTAAGTTGGTAGAGATCTTGATGAGTTATAAAATTGAATTGGGTATACATGTGCCTCATGCTTGGTATTGCTGGCACACAAAAATATAGCTAATAAAAAGGGAAAAAAAGGTCTCATAGATTAATTTAATCCTGTCTAAAAGAATTTCGAGTGCTGCAGCTATTGAGGATTCTCTCTTGTTTGTTATGAAATTATGAAATCATCCATCTTTTTAACCTTTTATTTTAAAAGTATTAAATTTTTCTCCATTTATTGAAAGTTACTAAGATTAATTTGTTTTCTATTGGTGACATAGGATGGGAGTACACAGTGGAGGCAACACTTGGAGGTTACCATCCTGTTGAGAAAACCTTCCATCTTTGCCGACGGAGACGGTGGGTAAGGCAGCGGAACTACACAAAAGACCGTATTCAGTCTGCATTAGAATCATCATCAGATGTATGTAAACTTTTTAAAAAATTTTTAAATAAGATTGCAGTTTAAATTACTAAGGTATGTGGAAAACAGTACAAGTTGCCAAAAAAGGTTTTATCAAAATATTTTACTTTTTTCTCATTTTAATTTCTAATTTAAAGATATTGCACAAAATTGAAAATAGTATTACAATTTTTGTTATAAAAGAATTGTTACTAAGCTCATAAATCTTAAATTTGAGTTCTACTGTAACTGAAATGATTTATAATTAACTTTGATTTGTTCTTTTAATTTTTCAGATAGATAAGATTTCACAGAGCTCTTGCCATTCGGATGCATCATTGAGCAATGGCTGGGAATATGCACCTTTGTTTAATATGAAATTTCATTCAAGGCCAAAGAGAATGGACTTAGTAAGAAGGCGCAGGTGGCATAGAAAACTTGTGGCTGAGGATCCTACTGCCCCATTAGTCTTTAACCTGACAGGAACTGCTAAGCCAAAGGTTAGTAGAATGATTAATATTCTTGAACTTATTTTGACACTGTATATTTCCCAAGAACTGTCACACTTCAGGCAAGTGCTTTGACCAACTGAGCTAGAGGATTACCCCATTAGCACTTGCTATTAAGTCACTTTTTAACAGCTGCAACAATATTCTGTAACTTTTAATTCATTCAGTCTCTGTATCATTATAAGTCAGTATTTACATGTTACAGACATAATATAAAATTGGTTGTACTAACTTTTGTTAGAAATAAAGGATTTGGCTGAGTAAGGATATTTTATGTGAACAGTTGTTAAAAGATTCCATGTTTCAGTTGGAACTGTATTCAAAACTTTGAAGAGAGTATGTGAAAAGTTAACATTTTCCTCACCTAAAAATGTATTTCTGATAGATACCTGTTTGCACAGAGTAGCTATTCCTTGTGCATCTGCCTTTGAGATTTTGTGCATGCCACTAACCTTAAATTATCTCCCACCTAAGATATGTGTTTGAGGTGAATTGTGCTAGTGCATGATACAATCATCATAACAACAATAGCCCTTCAACAATAGAAGAGCAACATATCCTCCATGTGTAGTAGATCCCCTAAGCACTTGCACTTGAAACCAAGTTAATTCTTATATGAGGCAAGAATAATGTGCACTGATAGTGAGGAGGAAGTATGGGAAAGTATGCAAAGAGGTAAGTATCTATTGGAAATACATTTTCAGGTAAGGAAATTGTTAACTTCTGAAATGATCTACTTACCTCTCTGCACAGTGTAACTAGAATCTCACATTGTTATGGTGGAGGGGCCAGTGCAATAAGAATCTAGGTGAATGCCTTTTAAAGAAGGTCTAAGAAGTGGAAAGCCCATGGACCATGACACCCAATTCTAGGAGCTTACTAGAGGGGCAACACTTGTGGGAGACTTCATCTTTCTCATGCAAGGTATACTCTTCTTCTGGATGGAAGTATGAAAAGAGAAGGGTGAAATTAAGCCAATGTGGTGCAGAGATGGACTAGAAAAATATATGACCAACTGAGTTTTTGCACATAATAGATCAAATGGATATGAAGTTAGGGCAATAAGCAGACTGTACAGTTTGGTATGTGTTCTGTTGTACAATTTACTCACCATACATATAGGAACAAAGACTAATGTCCCTTCCTGCCTCCCAAGAAGAACATTTTGCTTCATATAACTTGTCAAAGCCACTAGGAAATTGACATGTAACATAATAGGGGTGATCTGCACTACACTGACATGAACAACCCTGTCCCACTTCCCACTGCATTGTGCTGCCCATTTGGACTCTCTCCAGAGAGTTCACACAGCCAGTGAAGAACTCTTCAAATTGACCACCCCAGTAGGTAGAAACCAAGAATCACAAGGATCTTCTATACTCCACTCAAGGACTGGGGGGAGAGATTTGTGTTGGGGAGACTCCAGAAAGGTGACTTGACCCAATCTGGAAAAAGTGCAATGGGCTACTGTGAAACCTACTTTGAAAAGCTGGCATGCATGAGCCAAGGAAGTGGGCAGTCACTCCCTCAGTGCTGACTTTATCCATGATAGTCCATGGAAGTTATGGTCAGGAATGGACACTGATATATAAACCACTTTAGCGGCCTTGTGGAAAACCCTATTTCAACAATGGGTACATTAAAACCAGAGTATGAGTAACACTTTCTGTTACCCCTAACTTGATGCAGACTTAGGAAATTAAGTATACCCTGTAAGGCAACATGTAAATGGGTTGGTTTGGAGAAGAATATGAGATGGTTACTACAAGTGGATAAGGAAATAAAGAAGTGTTTACCCATTAACTCTTTCAGCATGGGCTCGGTCCCTGGGACTAACCTTGTAACCATTTTGTGCTTGTTATAGTTTTCATGCTGTAACTTTTAAATTATTAAGTGAATGTTAATGAAATTTGGCAGATTATCAGTAAACATTACAATGCTTTAAATTTTTTTTATTTAGTTTTAAGATTTATAAGGCAATGTTTTTACATGTTGCCTATCTATCATGCAAAGTAATATATAGTAATATATATATAGTACTGAAATTTGAATTATAATATGCAGTTTAATACCAAAGTTATTGACATAAATTCATGAAATATTAGTTCAATAAAATTTTGAATGCGAGTCAACAAACAAGATGGCATGTCCTTTCACATGTGACCCATCTCGAAAGGGTTAAAGATGGTGAGTGGACTGGAGTATGGATATTAGAGGGAGGTGAAATCCAGATAGAGATGAAACTGGCAGGTGGTGGAGATAATGTGTGATGAAGGTGTTGTCCACATTCCACCTTGTATGATCCCATCGAAGAGTTGTTGAAAATGCAAGGCCAGAGAATGGGTGAAGTGGCAGATTTGATGTGAAGTGACATGATACAGCCAGCATGAAGCTCCATACAGGGAAGAATAAATGATCCAGATGAGCTGATTAAACCATCCAGTAAATAAACAGAATGACAGATTCCTGGAAGAAGTGGGGTCCCATGGCAAGAATAAATGATTGCAAGAACCCTGAAAGGGAATTGTGCATGCTAAGTAACACCTTACCACCTGAACCAGACATGAAAGATGGTCAAAGTCAGAATGATTGTATAGGGCCAAGATTGATGGAAGATATATAGTGGGACATTGAATATAGTGCTGGCACGAGTTGGCCACCAAGATAGATCATTGAGAATGGAAGGTGGAAGAATCACAAAAGACTGCAGAGGATATTAAGAGATGTTTCATTAATCACTCAGTGTCCATGAAGTTTCATGTGAGCTTGGCCTAGAGGAATAAGATGTTCTATAGACACAAGAACCCTCAAAAGAAAGAATCTCCCATCTGGGAAGTATAGGTGATTAAACACTCCATGTCATGCCGATGAATAGGGGGAGGCTAAGCTTAACTGAGGTGAGAACTGAAAAAGACTCCAAGGTGGATTAAGTACTGAGTCAGAGTTAGGAATGACTTGAAAAACTTGACTAGCCAACCCAGATGAGCTGCCTCTTGGATGAGAAGTAACATAGCCAATAAGGAGGCCTTTCAAGAAAAGGGTGAATAGGGGGAGGCTAAGCTTAACTGAGGTGAGAACTGAAAAAGACTCCAAGGTGGATTAAGTACTGAGTCAGAGTTAGAAATGACTTGGAAAACTTGACTAGCCAACCCAGATGAGCTGCCTCTTGGATGAGAAGTAACATAGCCAATAAGGAGGCCTTTCAAGAAAAGGGTGAAAAGGAGCCAAACATCCAAGATGGTGAATGTGGCAAGCAAATGCTCTCATGACTTAGTTGAAGATATAAGAAGCTGAAAGTCAGAGCTTGAAATTGGTACACCTGATCCTGGTGAGTGAAACAAAGGTTATGTTGCACAGACAGGGCAATTGGAATGTGTAGAAAGGTGTCTGAAATATCAACCTTGGTTATCCAAAGTCCTGGGGAAAAGGACCAATAGAGAGGAAGAAACCCCTCCATCATGAATTGAGGAACCACCAGATAGTGGTTGAGAGAAAAAAGTTGATGATGGGATGCCAGTCTATTTTCTTTTTGGGGATGACAAAGAAGGCTAGAATAAAACTCAAGAGAGGGGCAAATGATATCTTGTCCAAAAGGTCTAAAAAAGAAGGAAGAGGAACAGGAAAATTGAAAACAGGAGAAAAGACAGGAAATGAAGAGAAAGGTTCACTGGTGAGCCACAAAAGTAATCCAGAGATCTGTAAATGTGCTCCCATGGTACCAAAGCTGATTTGGTATAAAGGCAGGGAATTATCAGCAGGACATGTGACAACTGATCCTATGGGAGTGGGAGTAGTGAGAGGAGGTAGAGGGTCAAGAAACAGGAAAGTAAGCAAGGTAGAAGGTTCATGGGGTCAGGGAAGGAGGTCGACTCATGAAGATAGAAGAGTTGAGAAAGCAATGAAATAAGAAAGAATTAATGTTGTGCAGCCTTGGGTTGAGTCTCCAAGGTATTAGGAACACCCCCAAATACTTTAGACAAAAGAAAGGAGCTTGACATAAGTTACAGAGGATGGGGAAAACAGACAATAGAGAGAGGAACATCATGTCCTAGAAGGTCCCAACAATATAGTAACCATGTGAAAAAGGACAAGGCTAAAGACAAATCCCTGGCCAAGGTATTGAAGAACACCAACTGTAGATCCTCAGAAATCCATTGAGATCACAGTGTAGGGCTTCAGACAGGAGAGGAGGAGAGGACAGGGGTTGAAAGAGATGAGTAAGAAGGAGGAAAAGATGGGAAAATTTAGCATTAGATAGAGAAACTGGGGCTGGGATCAGAACTACAAGCAGGTAGAAGGGACTCCAGGAATTGAGAATCTAAGAACGTGCAAGGAAGGAATACTGGAATCGAAGAAGCTGTGGCATTTGAGATTAGCACTGAACTTTATTCAAAAATAAGTCTGGAGAAGGAGGAAAGAGCAAATAATACTCAGTGTGAGAGTCATGTAGCAAGGAATGAGAAGAATCAAAAGACATGGGAGAAAGGGAAAGCAAGGTACAAACCTGACTAATCAAATCCACAAAGAGATTTGGAGGAGTAACATTTTCTTCCACAGGTAAAGATTAATCTAGGGAAAACTGAGAGGTGGAAAAAGCCTATCAAAGTTCTCGTTCTCATGGTTGAGTTCAGAAAGAGGAGAATATACAGAGACCTAGGAACGAGAAGATGAGGCAAGGAAGACAACAAAGAACCCACAACATGATGAACTATGATGGTAACATCTTCCACAGCTAATGATCCTCCAGTGTCCACAGACATAGTACAATGTCATTAACATTGCCAGAATCTTAGGAGGAGATAGAATATACCATGACTTGAATGTTCGTGTTGAGTAACTACTCCCAAGCAAGTCTTCAGAACAATATACATTTTTTTCTTATTGCTGCAGCTTCAAACTTAGGTTAAAACAAACAATAAAACTAGAAACAAGAAGTATTAACAATCTGAATGTAAGCAAAAGTAAGTTAATGCTTTCAAAAGGTAGTACAAATCTCATGAAATTGATTACGTTAAAGTTAAAAACAGTGCCGAATGTAAGAATGAACTTGATATCAAGTGCAAATTATTAGGGGATGTACTAAACATGGAGGATATGTTACCCTCCTATTGATGGAGAGCTAATGTCCCATGATGATTGCATCATGCACACTAGCAAAGTTCATGTCAAAATGTGTCTTAGGTGGGAGAGAGTTCAAAGCTAGTGGCAAGCACAAAATTTCAAAGGTAGATGCACAAGGAATAGCTACTGTATGCCGAGAGATAAGTGGATTGTTTTGGAATTGCATGTTTAATAATAGAAGTGTTTAAGGTGGGAAACCAAAACTCCTCAGTAGTGATAAGTATCTTAGGTACTTTCTTTAGAAGGTAGATGATGGTTGATTACAGCTTGCCAAAAATCTTACTTTAAATATGGGTTGAATCTTAACTCAAGAACAGTAATATACAAAGTAACACGAAGAGATGTTGGTAGATTTGTAGCTACTTGAAAGCTGCTGCTGAGAAGAGGTGATCAAACCAAAAGGTTGAAATTGGCATCAGATCACAAACAGTGCAAGGGAATGAGTTCTTTATAAACAAATCCAAGTTTGAATTATTTGGCAATAATCAATAACAGTTTGATTGACTGTGGATAGAACTGTATTGTAGCCAATGTATAGTGTGTACAGTGAAACATAGTGACGGATCTGTACAAGTTTGTAGGTGCATCTCAGCCAGTTATGTTTGAAATGTACATAGAAATGATGGTACCCTGACAATTACAGCCTCAACCTAATCCATCATGGCATTCTCTTAGGAACACAACTTATCAGGTGAGGATTCATCTGCCAGCAAGACATTGATCCTGAGCATCCAACAAATGTGGTGAAACAATATCTTGCTAGTTTAAAGAAGCCATTGGAACACTCGCAACAATGACTTGGCTTGCACAGATTCCCAGTATAACATTCTTGAGCCTGTATGGACTTGTATAAGATCTGAGAAGGGGAAAAGGTGACCAAAGAAGGTGGTTGACTAGTGGGGGAGAAATACAAAACATTTGGAACAGTAATCCACAATTGTACATTGATAAATTGTACGGCAACATCTAAACAAGTTATGATGCTCTTTGTAAGCAAAATAGTGCATTGTACAACGTGTTCATTTTTCTTTTGTATTTTCTTTGATATATAATGTTTTGTATCTATTAAATTCATCATTTTGTTACCATTACTCAATTTGAGTGACTCCTATATGTTCATAGTTTGTTTTCATACTTATGTTCATTACTATGTAATTATTTTTAATACTTTTTCCAAATCACAGATAATTATTAATGTTATTGAACTTATGTATATGTGGATTCATACTTCTGTATTATTGTATGTTTTAGGGAAAAATTAGTTTTTTTGTATAAACTTAAATAATGAGGAAAACACAAATGAAAGGAAAGTGAAAAATGCCTTAAAATATATTAATGTGTATTTTTTTCTGAACATTTTCCATCACTATATTAAAACTTATTAACATTATTTTGGGGTTATTGCTTGTTAAAAGCTGAAAACTTAGAAAATAGATTTTGTTTTTTACAGCAAAGCCACATTAAGTTATCTGCCATGTCTACTGTGGGGAACTGAAGAATGATTTTAGTGTTATAAGCCCATAAACATATTGCTGTTCCTTGGGGGACTACTTTGGGATACTGCCTTACTAAGAAATGAGAACTTAGATAAAACTAATCAACATTATTTTGAATTTATATGATTTCTGAAAATTAAGAATTTAGATAAAAATAACATTTTGAAGTTATGGTTTTGTTTAAAGGTGACAATTTAGATAAAACTATTTAATATTATTTTTTTAGTTTATATTTATTTTGTGGTTCTGCATTTTTTATTATGAATTGTATGATATAGATATTGTTACTGAAAAAGGAATAAATATTGTTTACTACACAGTTTCAAAATATATTCTCATACAAAGTGCTCATTTTTTGAAGAATTTTAAAATAACATTTAATGATGACTAAGTTTCTTGTAGAAGTTTGGTGATACAAAAGTTTACCAAGAAATTTGGAGACAAGGTTTAATGTATCACTTTCAAGAATATAATAACTTGGAACCTGGCTTATTTAAGTTACTATGATGTTATGAAAAGACTGAGTTTGAAAATTTTCAAAATGTTGTAGGCTAGTACTGTATGGAAAAAACTGATGTCAGAAGCAACAGATTCTTCTCACCAAAAGGTAAAATTTGCACTACTTTATACATTTACAGGATGATCATGAGACCAAGGAATTTGTGCCTTATAATGTCTTGCGGTATACTTAAAATGATATAACGAAGTAAGAATTTAGGTGAATTCTGTAGAAATTATCATCATCATACAAAACGTTTTTAATCATTCCATTTGTGAAATACTTGGTGTCAAATATTACATCCTGTAAATGTTACAAGCCACTTGTGATGGGATGGTTTCTGTCTATTTCTCTTTACCTGGCATATGGTACAGGATTTGGGTAATTTTTATGATACTTAATGTAAACTTTTAAATATAAAGATGTTTTAATGTTATGAACACTATAATGTCATTTTGATGTATGGCATATGGACAGCTTGTTGTCTTGTTCTTATGATGCATGTACTGTGTGTTTCAAAAACAACTATGATAGACATTTATTTTGTACAGTGAGAAACTTCTTTGTAAAAAAAACTATATATATTTTATTTGAATTAGGGAAGTATTTTTTGAATAATTTGGCACAGAATAATTTTTTATGTATTTTTTCTATACTTATTTAGACTGCTGAAGAAGCTAGGATGGCTCTACTCAGCTGCCCGCGTTTATTTTTAGTTTTTAAATGTGAGTAAATTTATTGTTAAAAAAGAGTGTATGCATAAATAATTACTCAAATTATGTATAGTTCATTTATGTACTCATGCTTATGTACATTTATGTACTCACAGCTTTCTATGTATAATAAAAGAATTAAACTATACAGAATATTTTTAAATACAAAATATTAAAACAAATATCTAGCAGAAAGTTCCTATATAAACATTTATTTCCAAAATTTCGTGTTACTTATCTCTGTAAAATACCTATGAATTATGTTTTTGATTAACATCTAAATGCTAGAATTTACAAAATTTACATTTGGTTCTGAAGATCTAATTAATATTGTCAGGTTTTATGTATGGGCCAGATTCTTTATTTGAACAATAAACAAACAGCACACAGTCCACTTGTTTTGAAATAATATATTAAAACAAGTCAAATGTATATACAAATGTTTGTTACATTGTTGGTTATCATAGTTTTATCCAAAGCTTTAAATAACTATTTTTTTTCATCAAAGTCCACACAGGTTGGTTCAGTTATTTCAGAACACAATTTGATAAGACAAATTATTCTTCCTTCTTCTGATATTACAATACAGTCTGTGATAATTTCATTTTAAAATCACCACTATAACTGTTGGTTACCACAGTTATATCCAGAGCTTTAAATAATTGTCTCTTTTTTTTTTCATCAAAATCCACACAGTCTGGTTCAATTACTTTAGAACACAATTGACAAGTCGAATTATTCTTCTCTACTCTGTTATTAAAATATAATCTGTGATAGTTTCAATTTAAAAATTGCTACTACATGCTCTTTATGGCTATAATAATATAAACTCACAATCACACAATCTAGATCTATCTCTCGAACTAAATTTTTGACGTCTATTTATACCCCATGAGAGGTATAGAACGTTTCACACATTACAAGATATCATGATGCAGTAATACTCAATTAAAACAATGAGAAAACTTAGAAGGTTCTAGTAACATGATGCAATAATATAAGAATCACCAATTCATAACTAGTGAACTACACAACGTATGATTCGTAAACAGTTATGTAAACAAGCTTGTGATAAACTGTCGCTTCTAAAAATATTTAAATTTAATACTCACACTATATAAACTATAAATCATAACTCTTGCATTAAACTTAAATAAAACAGTTGAGTATATCTAACAAATATTATTGTTTAAAAATGGCATACTTTTGTGATTGATGTCTAGACTTATTTTATGATTTTTAAAGTATAATGAACAGAACAACAAATGTCGAAGTTAAATAATTTTTTAGTTTCTTATGATGACATTAGGTTTGATTACTGATCTATGATGAATGCATGAGAGAACTAAAGATAATATAAAGAAATTTCAAATGTTATTCTGTGACAATGAAAACTTTATTGTTATTTTCTAGTCTATACAAGCCATTGTTTATCATTCTAAATTTTTGCTAATTGTGAAATTTCTATGTGAAATAGAAGTAAACAAACCTTTTGACACTGGAATGAGATAAAAATTATTTCTGTTTTGTAATAAATTAGTTACATAAATGATCTAGCTATTAATGGCACATATTAGGGTTAATTAGTGTGACATTTGGGAAAAAAAAGTTCTCTAACCAGTTGTATCTTTCTTGTTGTAACTTAAAACATATTTAGCTTTCCAAGAAAAAGTAGTAAAAATTATGTGAGGATCTTATAATTGTGTTTTTTGCTTGTTTCTAAATGACATTAGCAGTTTATTCATTAACTTGAATATGAAGCAATAGATATTCTTAAGCAGATATTTGTAAGTACCATAATAATGATTACAAGTTCTTGTTCTAGCTGCTCATAGGTTCCAGTTGAGAACATACATTTATCAAGCAAGAGACCTTGCTGCACTGGACAAATCAGGTTTTTCTGGTTAGTATAGTACTATAGCTGAAGAAAGAAACATTTTTTATATGTAATATCCCAGTAATTGTGCACGATGTTCTCTTTTGATGTGCCTGAATAAGTTTCATAAATTATACTCTCATGTTCATATATACTTGTAACTATAATAGAATACTTTCAGATCCATATGCCTGCATCAGTTTCATGAACCAGAGTCAGAAAACAGAGGTTGTGACTCAGAGTTTGTGTCCAACATGGGATCAGACACTTTTGTTTGAAGAAGTGATCTTCTATGGGGATATAGTGAATGTGCAGAGGGAGCCTCCTCCTGTTTCTGTGGAGGTCTACGACAGAGATGCATTTGTACGTGTATCAATTTGCCCACTTATGAAGATTGTGGTATTATAAATTTATGAATGTGTAAATATTGAGATGCTTAATGATGCATAATGAAGACTTTTTTGATACAAGCTGTATATGTAATTAAATTTTATGAATATATAAAATGTGAATGTTTTTTAATGCAGAAAGAATTACAAAGAAGTTTCAAGCAGAAAGTTATAAAATTAAAATGTGTCATATATTTGGGAAATATGTTTTTCAATAACATTACAAAACTTTCATATGAACAAAATTTACTTCTATAAGTAAATTACTATAAATATATTTTGCTTTGGTCGTAACTAATTTTGATGTTCTCCAAAACTAGTCTAATTCATAGAAGTGAGCAAAAACTGCCTATGTTTTTTTAATTGATTTCATTAGAATCTGAAGAATGCTATTACAAATATTTTTACTTCTCTTGGCCTTAACTTTTGATTTCATAATTCTAATTAATAAGTCTTTTTTTTTTGTTTAGATTATTATTTTTTTAATTATCTAATCAAATTCACTTATTCTCTGTTTCTTTTTATTCCAAGCTTTATAACTTTTAGGTCCAGTTATTAAACACATCACAGTTGCAAGAATCTTTAATTTCTCTAGTTTTTGTAGACAATATTCCCAGTCTATAAATAATAAAAGAGTATTTCAATAAGTATAGCTTTGCAATATTCTGATTATAACTATGAAACAAATTTTTCTGTTCTTTTTAAAACTATAAATTATAATTGTATATAATAATAACTTCCATTCAGAGTAAGTTATACATTCTACATTGGCTTACTCATAAAACAGAAGAGCAATATCAACAGCAAGCCAATCTCTTTGATCCTGTAGCAGGTCATGGATCATGGTATCGTTACGACATCGAGGTCACGTGATTAGTATCACGCCACGTCATTCTCGAACCTTCGTGAATTATCGGGAGACTACTAGATTGGGGGTAGTCTGGTATATATAAGATGGTCACAACATGACAGAACATTGAGTAATTGAACTGCAGTCATAGAGTGTGTAATTGAACGGAGTATTGTTGAAGTTGAGAACGTGAGACGTTCGTTGTTATAGCGTTTGTTATAGCGCGACTGTTGAAATTAAGTGTATCGCAAAGTTATATTCAGAAAGAATAAACCAGTTTTATTTAAGAAAGGACTTGTGTCGCTAAAGTTTCGTTGGAATGAAGTTACGGAAAATTAACTAACGAACAGAGACGTAACAGTATACATTAACTTTTAGTTCTGACCTATATAGGTAGCTTGTTTCAATTACAATTAATGAAAATTAATGATACAAATCCACAGGATGTGTCGTGTGTTTATGTATGAAAATGGAGTGGATTTGACCGCAGATTCTGTTTGAGTATAAGTTTGTTATATGGCTGTAGGGTGAAATGTTCTTGGCACTATTACATATGAATTAGCTTATTCCTTCTATAAGTATAAAGTTAAGTCTTGTGAAGTTTGTTTAGATCTAACTGTTTGTACACAGACATAATGTGAACATCATGTTCAGCCACATAGCCTGCACCCTATAAGTCTGATGAACCAGAATTTACAGGTAGTTGTTGTTGCTGTTATTTTATCAACAAGCTAAACAATGAGATATCTATGCTCTTTGCTGTTATTTTATCAACAAGCTAAACAATGAGATATCCATGCTCTGTCCATTTCAAGGAATCAAATCCCACATTTTAACATTGTAAGCCCATAAACTTCCTGCTGACCCACCTTGGGGCTTAGCAGATAATGGTCAGCTACTTGTGTCATGGATGATGATCTACATTGTTAAGATGTCCGATCAACTGTACAATTAGTCTGAAAGCCTAAACTTTCCATATAAATAAAACATCCAAATATATAAACTATATATACAGTATAAGCTGAATGACCTATCACTTGCATTTCAGACTACATGACTTCTTCATCAAAAGCTTGATTTTCATAACAGTGAAAAGGTGGTATTATTTTACAACAGTGGTTTGGCTTTTAATTCTAATTATTTTTTGATTGTCTTGAGAAGTGTTTATTGCATGGACATTTTACATTTTTGGTCAATTATATATTGTCTGATGACTAACTTCTGTGTCCTATTCTCATTGTTAATAACATCTTATCAACTATAAATTAAACCATGATATACAAAGGGGATGATGTCACAATGATAGTAGAGTCTCCAATTCAAAAAATTATTATTATGATGCCCACGGTGAGAAAGTTAGCTAGATATCTTTAGTGTTTTATGTTTAATCTAGTGTATCATAGACATTATTCTTAAGATGTCCTAATAGAACAACCCTTTGTATGGTTACTGGAGGGGTAACTTGAATTTTTTAAATCCTAATAATGATTTATAATCACAGAGTAACAAAGAATTATAACCTGTTATTTTTCAGATACAAGAATTATCAAGACAATAATGAATTTTTATTTTGAAGCAATCTTCTATCAAAAGTCTGTTTTTCCATTTTCGCTTCTTAGTATTGATCTAAAGAGTTAGATGACTTCACTGCTGTAGTGGTTAAAATCAGTAGTAGTCAAGTACCTTGTTTATAATATGCCATTACTCCAAAATACTTGTCCAGGTCAGCCAACAAGGGGGGAGGGGGGGCTACTGCCCAGGGGCCCGGGCGAATGAAGCCTGGTTATGCCGTAAAGCCTGCAAGACATCTTTAGGCTATATCTTCATTTAATGATAAAAACCATAGCTTTTGACTTTTCTTTGCATATAGATGCTTGATACATTAAGAACGACTGAAATAATAATTTGAGTAATAATTAATATGTATTTGTTACTTTATAGATTTAATAGATATTTGTTGTTACTTTACTAACATTTTTACGCTCATACTGTGAGGTAAAAACGGCTTCTGCTATAATTTTGTCTGGTTTATGAGCTCGTTGCTGTCCTAATTTAGGATCTTCTTTTTAATAAATTCTTGAAAATGTTAAAAAAGAGAGAAGGAGAGCCCAGAGAGGATGTTTGCCCCGGGGTCCGTGCTGGCTCTCGACGTTCCTGTACTTGTCTGTAAGTATAAAATGGCTTTATTTTTCTGAAGGCTGTTTATTCTTTTTTAAAGGCACGAAGCATAGTTACACATGAAAACTTAAGAAATGTACCTACAATTATTACCTTTTCTTTTAGCTGTTGTTCTATCTTCTGTAGCTGACGCATAATTTTAAAATTCTTCAGCTGAATTTTTCTCAAAACTTGATCACTCTGCTCTTCCCTCTTCAAGTAAAATTCCACCTCCTGATGATGGTGTAATTTAATGAAATTTCTCATAACAACCACTATATAAAAAATTACTGACAATACCTTCTATAAAAAGCAAAAATTAATGTTATTTTACTTATATGGTAAAATTTTTTGGTTGAATTGTGAAAGACTTGGCCAGTATCTTTGTGTTAAATCAAAAAAGGTCAAGTTTCCTTATTTAATGAATTCTTTAAATTAACACACTTGAGTCTTTCAGCATAAAAAATAATTGTGTTTTGTAAACAATGCATTTTTTACCTCTTTTTTTTGCATGAATTTTAATATTTATATTATAACTAGATTACTGAATATAATAAAACCAAATTACAGTTTTTAGAGTCACTTTTCTTTCCAATTAAATCAAACTATTAAACAAAACCCAACACTGTGCACACTAGTTTATTAGTACTGTACTTGTTGTTCAATGCAAGCCAATGATAAAGGGTTGCTGATATACTGCATAGGACAGAAAAAAAAAAGGGAGGATAAATCAAAGAACATGCAAGAGTCCTGACTGGACAAATCGATATAAATACTGATTCTTAATAAGTAAAAGGGGAATGTATTTAATTATTGTATCTTACATGTTTTTGGCATTTAAACCATAATGTTTAGAAAGATATATATGAAGGTCAGCTGATTAAAAGATGAGTACCTTGCAACACAACCTAATGGACCAAGATGAAATTAGAATCAACAGCAGTGAGACATATAGGTAATAAAGACATTAAAGTAGATAAGTAAGTCTGATTGAAATAATCAAGAGAACAAGAATAAATACTAATTATGCAGAAAAAGAATATTTCAAAACAACACAAAGGATAATGTGCTGGGTAGAAAACTGATGATAAGTCAAAGTAAAATAACACATGAAAGACCTCCCTCCCCTCTAATAACACAAATGAGGTCAAAACTTGAGAAGGAAGAGCAATACAAAGTTTCTGAATAAAGACCTAATTTTGAAAATATCTGCAACTCCAGTATCATGAGAAGATAGGAGAAATAAATGATCCAAATGTGGAAATCATTTCACATGACACAAGCACCCCCAGGCATAATGGTAACAGGTTCAATGCTGAAAATATATAGCATATCTAAGAGAAAAAAAAATGAGACTTGAAAAAGTGTTGTCAGGATTAGGGCTAACACTTTCAGGCTCTGAAGGCAATTATACCATAGCAAAGAAAAATAATATTGTAGTAAAGTTGACAGCATGATTGTTAATAAGAAAATCTAAATTACAGTGGGGGAAGCAAAGTTTATGTAAGATCTCTAGATACTTGCACAGTAAGTCACATGTAAGATAGAAAAGAGGAAAATTATGGGTAAATGATGTATGCTCAACAATATACAAAGGAAATTTTCAGCTGTATATTTTTGTTGACAGCATGTTTTCAGTATTTCAGAAATAAGCCTATCTAAGTTGAATTCCTATGTTTTATGCATGTTATAGTCATTTCAGTTATGATTCATGCAAGTTTTACAGGTGAATTCAATTCAATATTACTGGAAAATCAAAACAAGGAAAAACCAACTATCAAATAGGCTTAATTATAAAAAACACCACTTTGTTGAGACAAATTTTACATTCTTAAATTATGAAGGTTTTTTTATATTTAGTTTGAATAAAAAATTAGTAAAAAGTTGTTCAACTGAATATTTGTACTTTATTTTTGTTATCATTTAATATAACTGTACTATGAAGAGCATGCTACTGAGTCCCAGAA